GCTGGGGTGCACTTGGATATATCTATAGAATGCTTCTGAGCCTCAGCAGCCTATTTTTTGTATTATGATAGGTTGCACCTCATAGCACCAATCCAGTTGTCCCACTAGCTCTAAAGCTATAACCTGCTTCATTAGTATCAGGTAATATTAATTTAAGTCTGCTGCAAAACCATTTCCTGATGAACCAGGTGCTGTTTGCTCTGATGAACATTAATTCATTCCCTGTATGCTTTAAGTACTTTAATAGGGCACAAATCATCTTTTGTTGGGTTTATTACTAGGGATACTCTGTTTGCTAATTTGTGATTCTTGGACCTGGCAAGCTGTATTGTAGTAAATATTGCTAAGCCAATCTTTTCAAAGTATAGTGCCTTTAGGGTGGGTACTTTTCTCTTATCTATTTTGCTGCTTGGAATTAGCTCTCCAAGGTGTGCTAGCCCATAAAATGCTGTTACAGACACTGCCTAAAACAGTAGATCATCTGTTTGTCTTAAGTCCGGTTTTTTCTTTATATATTCTAGATGGGCTCTTGTGATATGCATTTTCTGTCTTACTGGTCTGTAGCAGTAGTTTGCCTTGATGGTTTTGAGAATTTACTTTATTAGTGGGTCATTCCTTACTGGGTTCCAATTATGTGATAGTTTTTTAATACTGACAGATACAATTTTATTGTTGGAAAAGCCACTTTCTTTTGTATTGTTAATATAAATTTTATTAATGACTCTTTTGACACAGGCCAAATATTACCATCTTTATTTCTCCAGTTATATTCTGAAACTAATACTTGGTATCTCTTAATCACTGCTTTATAAGTCTTGTGTTTTGGAGAACTGGTTTTCAAAATATATGCTGCCTGTATATCTAGTGGAATTTGAAGATTATGCCAATGCAATGCTTTATTCTATTAGATTCTGAGTGTTTTACTTGTAATAGACCTTTCCATACTTTCTGATTCTTTGCTTCTTGTAATTTGTGGTTCTATTGCATTAAGGATAGGATAATAGAGATCATGTTAGTATACTCTGGTGGGACCTTTGGTTGAAAGTACTGTGCTAAGGGTTTTTTAATTAGAAATTCTCTGTGACCACCTCTGGAGAGTAAGTCTGCTTCTATATTCATCGTGCCTGCTATATACTCTAATCTGATTGAGAAATTGTTCTGTATCTGAATCTCATACATGTGTGCAATAATCTTATTTATATTCTTATTTTTGCAAAAGCCCGAATAAAATGCTTCTATATTTGCTAAGTTATCTGTCTATACAATAAGCTTTTTCTGAGTTTACAATAGAGCAAATATACAAATAGCTACTAGAATTGTTACCAATTCTTATTCTTGAATATCACAATATGTTATTAAAGTGCTATTAGACCAAGCAAATACTGTAAAGTAATTCTCAAATATAGCTTCACCTCCAATATTTAACGCATCTGTATATAGATTATTTATGTTTGGCAGTTGCTATTTTTGATCTTCTATTAGATACATGCCAGGCCACTGCATTATTATTTTTGACTTCCAATAAATATCTGCTAGCATTGGATTGGTTAGTCTGACATGGTGTTTTGGGTTTCTTAATAAAGCCTGTACTTTTATAAAGTGCTATATAAATGGTCTTCCTTGAGGAATAACCTAGCATAACCACATTAAGGATTCTACCAGAGATTGGAGATCTTTTATATAGCACCATCTCTTGGTTGACCAATTCGCAAGTAATTTTTTTATCTTTTGTTTCTTTTTATATAAAATTAATACTGATAATGTTATAGTATTTATTAGTATTTCTAGAAATGTTATTTCTGTGCTAGGTCCTTCTAGCTTTGATTCTTTAAATGGTACTTTCATTACTTCTAGTATGCGTAGAAACTGGTATAGCTCTTCTTGTCTATTTGACTTAGATATTATTAGGAAATTATCCACATAGTGGATTATAAACTTAATACCTTGCTGTATAGCAATCCATGTAATTGCATCAGTGAATCTACAGAAGATGCCACCAGATGCCTTATTTCCGAAGGCTAGAGCTTTGTCGAAGTATATCTTTTTTTTATTGTCATACCTTATCACTTGGGTATATAGATAATATTTGGTATGCATTTTTGATATCAATTTTTGATAGTGTACAACCTTTACCATATAAATTTATCTACCTTATTGCATGAGTTATATTCTCATATTTTGTTGTAAACTCTACTTCATTAATGCCATCATTAACACTTGAACCAAATGGAGCAGACAAGTGGATATTACTCTGTAAACTTTTAGATTTGTATCTTTCTTTTCTACTAGCCCACAAGGATTAATCTAGAAAAGATCACAAGGTAGGTGTTCTTCTGTAAATAGTCCACATATATAGCCTAGAGCTATTTTATTTTGAATATAGTTTCCTAAAGCTGACAGATCTATGCTAAGTGACTTTAAATTTGTCTGGACTCTTTTCACTCATTTTGTTGAAAAATTAAATCTAAAACCTTTTATAATATCATTTATTAGGTAGTTTATAAAAGGTCAGTTTGGGTGCTAATCTGTAAGTATTTTAAAAGCTTGAATATCTATTGTTGTTCTTATATTAAAATGCTTAGAATCTAATTGTGCAAGTATTCTTGTTTCTTTTTCTGATAGTGGTATATCCTGTGGGGGTATACAAGTTAGTATTTCATTAACAGACTAAAGAATAGAAGGTTCACTTGTCGTTATATATTTTAATAGTTTAAATTAAGACTCGTGATGAAAGGTTATTTTGTTTCTATTATTAGCTACATATATTCTTTTTTTTTTGGTATTAAGGTGATCTACATTGGCCTGGGAAACTTTTTATTAGAGTATAAATAGAGTTTTATATATAATTACAACGATGGTACATCAAGCTACACGTGCACCTTTTGAGTGCTTATTTAAGTAGTCCACTCGAAGGTTTTATACTATCTGCTATACCTGCACTCCAACTAGGGGGGTACCTATTTAAACTATCTGGTTCTAACTATCTCTATCCACCCCCTAACCTGATAGATATTCATTATTAGTTATTGGTTATATATATTATGTTAATTAAAATGACTATTTTTTTTTTTTAACAAAAAGTTTGCTTCAATATATGTATATTTAATACAAAATTAAATATTCACTTGGAGATTGATTTTTTTTTTTTTTTTATTTAGAAAGGTAAGTGATAAACTCTTAACTTGTCAGCAGATAGCATATAAAAACTATCTCTAAACAACAAGCACCTAAGCATTAAACCTAATATTATCTAAATTACAAGTTAAAACTAACCTGGTTACCCCAATTGGTACCTATGTTCGACTTGCTATAGCAAGATTTCCCTCCTTCCAGGCCTCTCCTGCAATTGGATATGACCTGGCTCTCAACAGTGAACCTTGCTATCTATCATGACTATCTTCTCTTCTTTCAGACTTCTTCTACCTAAGCCCAACAACACAATTGAACTCTTATTTGTATATAAAAGTAAAAATGTAAAGATATGTTTATGAAAGACATAAACATTTTAGAAAAAAAATGCCTCATAGCAATAAAAAAAAACAAAAACTAAACTAAAATCTCTAAAATAGTCTAACATAAATGATCAAAGATGAAAAAAGCGAAAAAAAGAAAATAGCCATGGCACACTATTATAGCCTGTAATAGACATAAAGATAAAATTATATAATAATTGCAACTAATTACTATATCTCAATTGAAAACCTTTTGTTTAGCTTTAGAACTTGTTTTGGGCATCAACTCGACTCGGGTATCTCCTAAACAGGGTGACAATTTTTTCCTTGTACTGTAACACTATATTGATAAACAAACAAATATGTGGTTGTATTCTACTGAGTCATCTGAATTAGGTAGGTGTAAACAATGCCGATTTTTTGGAAGAGTAAGCTAAAATGCCTACTTTTTTGTTAAAATTTTTGGTGAAAACAGCAAAAAGTGAAAAACACATAGGAGACCACTGGCATATATTCAAATAAGTGTGAGTTCTAAAGACATCAACAGGTGTTCTACAAGTTTGCACAGTACTCAGTTTTTTCAGTGAATAATAAACTCTGGGCTTGTTAGCAAATAGCATATGAGAACTATCTCTAAACGACAAGTGCCATACTGCTGTAAGTAATAAACTCTACACTTGTAGGCAGGTAGCATATGAGAACTACCTCTAAACAACAAGTGTGATTCTTCTTACACCCTTTTTCATGTCTTACATTTTTTGTGCAATATGTTACTGTTTTTTTAGACAAAAAGCTTTTTGGAAAATATGGTCCAGATGATTGTCAGAAAAAGAATTTTTTTATTTTTACTATTAATTGTTATATTTATATATTCTTCAACTGTTAGTTTGATTACTTTGTTTTGTAGTTGAATTTTGCTCTAAATTGTTTGCAAACTATCTATGCTCTGTGTGTCCTACTTTTTTACAAAACAAGCATGTATGAACGTGGCTATATTTTTTATCATCATAGCAGTATCCTTGGTTCCAATTGATGCAGATTTCTCTGCTTGGGCATGGTTTGCTGCTTTTTAATTTTTTTATTGTAGTAATATTAAAATTTTCACCCTTAGCAACAATGCTACAATCATACATTGTGGAGTCACGATTTATTGCTAACTCTAATTACTTCATCATATGACATTACTGCAGCAAATTCATATTTCATGCACAGAGCTGATATGGTCATAATAGTAATTTATTTCCTGTTTTCTATTATTAAATAGTATTAAAACTGCCTTTATATAAGATTTAAAAGCCAAAATTCATTCAGAATATTATTGAATTTTCTATACATGTATTGTTTTCAGATTGATAAGTAGCTACTATTGGATAACTGTAATGATGTATCATTATATAAATACTTTATTTTTGTCTTCATGTTCTTGTGAGCAAATTCTTGTAAGTTTATATATATACCAAGTGCAATTGATTTCTATATTCATAATGTTAGATTTGGTTTGCATGCTAACATTTCAATTGTTCTTTGTTCTTCGCTCCAATTTAGCACTTACCAAAGCCTTCTACTTTCTGTTTTAGCTGCCGATGAGTTATTAAAGTTATGAACTTTTAGTAAATTTTTGATCAACCTATAATCAATTGTTGGAAATCTATAACTTCTACTTTTAACTACTAGTTGTTTGTTTGATTTGTCTGGAGTTTCAAATTGTTCTTGTTTGTTACCTCTATTTCCTACTCCTTCCATTGCTGTTATATTTGTGATTATATTATTGAGAATTGGAGTAGAAGGAGAATTACCTTGAGTTAAGTGTTTTCTTGTATCTGTTAAGCTTATAGTTACTGAAGATGTATAGTTCTTTTCTGGTGTTTGACTTTCATTGGGTTGTTTTTCTGTACTGTTTCAATTGGCTTGTTTAAGTTTGTTAAAACGGTTCTCAATTGTATTCTGTAGTTGTTCATTCTATAAATGCTGATTGTCTTTCTACTGGTTTAATAATTCTTTAACTTTGTCAAAAAGCATTGATATTGCTCTTTAGCATATATCATCTAAATATGTTTTTGTTTGTGGATTAATATTCGGTGCTTCAGGTTCATTCATTTTCGCAAAAGCAATTCTTTGGCACAGGCACTGACTAGACAATTTTTTCGCTGCCCTTGGCTCTTATACTTATACTAACTTATTTACACTTGTTATTGGCATATGTTGTCCATATATACATATGAATTTCTCATGTCATTTGATCTTTACATGTGCCAGCAGGCCGAGGCTAGAAAAGGCAGTTGTGTGGCTGTTTCTCTTTTTGATTACATGATCTACTATCACTTCATATTAATACTATAACGATATTAAAATTGGCCTAGTAGTTCTTAAGAAATCTTTAAAAAACTTCTTTTTTACATATAAATATTTTTAAAAAAAATCAATTTTTTTTAAAGAAATTTTATATATGAAAAAGAAGTTTTTTAAAGATTTCTCAAAAACTACTAGTTCAATTTTAATATCTTTATAGTATTAAATATAAAAGCCAAAAAGTGATTTACTTAGTATAAAAAACGTTTTAGATAGAGATGCTGTGCATTTGCACTTATAGTAAAATTTATATATCAAAAAAAATTTTTGAACCAGATGACTAAAGAATTGTCTATTAAATAAACTAGCTTAAAACTTATTAAGCAATAGCCTTTTAGACCAAATAGGCTTTTTTTGCTATTTACACTTAAACAAGCTTCTAAACTTCTGCTCAAAACTTAAAACAAGTTATTCTACATATTCTCTCTTCAAAACAAGCTATAATAGACCTTTATAGCTTTAATATTAACCAAGTTATAAGTAAAACAATTTTAATTTCATTTGCTTTTTCTTTTTTTTTTTTTAAAAAAAATTTCTTTCTTAAACACTTAGAGATATTTTTTGTATAACTACATTGCCCCAATTGTGCTACCCACATTCTATATAATTCTAAAATTATTGATGTTTGTTAAATTATACTAAAATTACTTAATTATTAATTAATATTGTACAACTTTAATATTTACCATTTTTAGTAACTTCATTATTGTTTTGGATATCATAAGACTTTGTGTAAACTACAAAATTCTAATTTTAGTTTCATAACTTTGTATAATCTAAAAAATAGTCTTCTTTTTATCTTATCTCTAAAAAAACATATTAATACAACCCTACTTTATTTTAAAGTTTACTCTATTATAACTATTACAATGCTCTAATTTAACTCAGAAAGAGCCAAATACTATTGATCTCAACTATATCTATACCTAGTTTTCTAACAGATTCAGTATCACTTTTTTTAAACACATACCTAATACAAAGCTTAGACTTACTTTAGCCTACTAAGCATCTACAACATGCTTTATTGAATTACTCATATTCAAATTACAAAAACTATATATTTCTACTATATACCTAGAACAACATTTATTATTGCATACTTATGTAACAAATATCATACCCACTTTATTGCTAGACACAATACTACTTATATATCCACTTTCACTTTTCCATTTTCTGAGATGTATATAGGGAAAAAACAAAACAAAAAATCTAAAAACTTTATTCAACAAATATGCTATATTATTAATACAATTTCACTATCTTTTATACATGAAACTTGTTAATACACCTGCTTCAAATGCTCTAATCATTTGTCATATCTATAGTAGTAAACATTATTCTAATAAAATTTATATTATAGTAGATAAAGAGGTTCTTCATATAAATTGTGCTTCTACTGCATCTTCTACATCAACAACTTCTATTATTATAACAATCCTAGCTATTATTTCTTTACTTGATCTATTTTAAAAAAGATTTAACTTTTATTTTCCAAAATATTCAAAATTATTTCTCTAACCAAGTATTTATTTCTTCTACCTCTATCTTCTTCTCTTCTAATAACCCATTCTTAATACTTTCTATTAAATATACTAATATTAATACAATAAAATATTTTAACTTTCCCAATTTTAAATCTTCACAAAACCTACTTATTCATGCAAAGTCAAATCTATTACTAATTCTCTTTCTTCTACTTTAACACCACTTACTCCTACCAATAATTTTCAATTCTTTCCTATTAGAACTGTATCTTGCTCTATAGAAATTAACCCCAAAACTCCTATTAATATTAACCAACCTATTGCTTATAACCCTATTAATGAATAACAAACTAAACTAACTTATCCTAAGTGGGATACATTCCATAATCTTGACTGGTTTTCTACTTATCCTATTATGGATAATATAGAAAATAACATCTTTTTAAACACTTTTAGACATCAATTACTTAACTTTGTAAGATCTTATCTTATTGAATTTGTATTTAGCAAAATTATCAGGCTCCCTTCTAATAATAAACAAAAAGACAAAAATTCAGAATTATCTATTAGCCTCTTGCAAGAAAATATTTTTAATTTTTTAATAATTTAATTCTCAAGTCAAATCCTTTATTAAACAAAGATATTATCCTTCATTATTCTTGATTACTTTTTCTTCAATTCACAACTGCCTTCTTTATCCAACTCAATCACAAAAAATTTTAATATCTTATCCCTTAAATTGTAACACAGGCAAATCTGTTTGCGAAGATTTTTACTAATTTTTTTAATATTTAAATTTTTTAATAAAATTTTGAATATTAATTTTAGCTATATATTTACTAAGTAAAAAATCTAT